GCCATGTGCGCCTGCGTGCATGTGCAGAATCCTGAGAGGCGGGGAGGTGGAGAAGGGATTGCTGCGTGGCCACTCCCCATGGAGGAAGGGGGAATGCACTTTGTCCTCTCCCTCTCACTTTGTTTCTCTCTCTCTCAAAAGTTTTTTATTTCAACTGTCCCATTTGAGAGAAGAGAAAACTGAGGTCTATGGTGAGAAAGTGGGTGGATGGCGCATCTTTAGTCCTCACGGGTGTGGGGAGGGCTTGCTCAGGACCCTGTTGCTCTCAGACATTTCTCCTGCCTTTTCTTTGGGGGAGGGGGGAAGATTTTTTTTTTCTTTTTTTTGGAGAGGTTTTTGCTATAGGGCGCGTGCGCTTGCCAGACAGACAGGGAGAGACAGAGAGACAGAAAGCGAGAAATCACCCCCCAGGGGGGATGGCCACACCGCAATCCCTTCTCCTCCATTCTCCTCTCAGGATCTTGGGCATGCACACACACGTGCCCAGGCTGAGTTTAAGCCACCGGGTCTGGTACTCGAACCGCAGTCTACTACATGGGAGTTCAGTGGACATAGCCATTACGCCAACTGTTGATCCCTTTCTCCCGCTTTTAAAGGCCAGTGCTCCTGGGCTGTGCTTAACCTAGTCCATGCACAGTGGGAGAGACACATGTCCAGGGCAAACGGAGGTCAGGGATGGCGAAGTCCTGGAAATAAACAGGTATGTGCAGGCTCCAGGCAGACTGAAAGAGCAGGGGCCCTGCACTCAGACTGACCAAGTGGCTATCTCAGTGGGAGTAATCTAACCTCTAGCCTTGGTTTCCGGGTTGGCGAAATGCCTAACAGAAGTGAGCTGGGAGGACAGCTGGGGACGAGTGAGATCCTGCACATTCGCGATCTTCTGTGCCCACCCCTCTCATCGGGACAGCTGAAGCCTACGAGTCTGCCCTTTCTTTTCTTTCTTTAAAGGAGTTTGCCATAGGGCGTGTGCAATCACCAGAGATAGAGAGAGGACAAGTGAGAAATCACCCCTAGGGGAGAATGGCATGCTGCAATCCCTTCTCCTCCATTCTCCTCCTGAGATTTTGGGCATGCACACACGCACCCAGAGTGATTTTCATGCCACCAGGTCTGGGACTCGAACCATGGTCAGCCAAGTGGGAGTCCAGCGTCTTAACATCTGTGCCACCTACTGGCCCCGTGCCCAGCATATTCCCAAGTCGTGGGGTCCAGGACTCCAATCATGGTTGGCCATATGGAGCTCTGGCTCCACCACACCACCTGCTGACCCCAGGAATCTGCCCCTTTTTAATAGGATATGGGGTTCAGGTTCTCTGTTCCCGCACGTGATTTAACCTCTCGGACCTCAGGGTTGCTGGTCTTATGTGCCTACCTGGCTGAACTGCGCAAGGACCAACTGAATTAGTGAGCAATCCTAAGTCACAGAAAATGTTCATCAGGGAGGGAGTGGAGCCGCAGAGCTGTGCCACCGGTGAGCCAGCTCCAGCCTCCCCAGGGGTGCTGGCCCCTTCTCCCCTGCCAGGGAATGCTTGGGTAGCACCTCCCTGGGGCACTGCCTGTGGATTTCCATGCCTAAGACAGGATGGCTGAAGACCTGGAGACTCCTCCTGGGGACCCAAGCTACCGTGCCCACCAGGCCAAACCACTGGAGGTGCCGGCCAGACCAAGGGCAAAGGCCATGACCGGGTCAGATCACCGTACCCCATGTACCCCAGCTACATAGCCTTGGGTAAACTGAGCCCAGAAGCACGGAGGGGCTTGTCAGAGTCCCCACACGCTGGCAGCATAGCTAGCATGATAATTATAAGTTTCATCCTCCCATTCATCCAAGGAGGTATTGTCTACCCCCACTCACAGGAGGCTCTGAGCTTTTATAATCTGCGCAGCTTACACAGTGAGTCAGTGGGGAAGAGCCGACAACCGAACCCAGGTCTCTGCGGTGTCCAGTTCAGGGCCCCATCCACCGCACCACCCAGCCTCCCCCTGCTGGCTCACAGCCCGGCTTCTCCGTGCAAGGAATCCGGAAAGAAGTATCCGACTTCAGTCTACGGTGAAATAGAATATTCCATTCGATCCTACAATTGTGCTGCCTCCTCTGTCCTTCCTCCTTCCCGCCCCTTCCCCTAGGTTCCCAAGAGGGAGTGCGGGGGACAGTGCCCACCCCCCACCCCACAA